AGATTGACAAGTAGAGTTGCATTAGGAGACTAGTTTAAGTTTGAATTTAAATTTAAAAACAATTATCTTTTGTATTATTTTATTATTTTCTTTGCTTATCCTTTAGGCTTTGAGAAGTTATAAATACCCACTTGGGGTAAGCCTAAACTCATCACTCAAATTACATTCTTCTTTTCTCTCTAGTTTTATTAAAGTTTTCTCTTTTTACTTTTCAAGTTTTTCCCTTTTTTCTTTTATTTTCAAGCTTTGTTTTCAAAATGCTAAGTATGACTTTTGTCATGCTTAGCTAAACTTTTCAAAAGCCGAGAGCTGTCGCGATGATTCAATTCCAACGGGAGAATTGAAACGGTCCCTTAATATCTTCGGAATATCTCTCTCAATCTCTGCGCTTATTTTTCAAAATCAAAACAGTTTTCAAAATTAAAGATTGACTTTGGTCAAGAGGTTGTTGCGATTAAATGTGTGGGAAGAATATTCGGATTATAGAAAGCAATTCGACTTCCTGGGAACACACTTGGCGAGATAGTTTCTCCAAGAGGGAATTGAGATCGAAATTGACGGTTATAGAAGCAACAATCCGAGTCGGACGCTACGAACTTAAACGGTAATTGATCTACGACAATTGATGTCGTTAGAATCAATTATCGAAGCCGGAATCAAAGATTGCATTGGGTGTTCGGTATACAAGATAGAGTCACGGGGATAGCTCTTGTAGACAAAGTAACCGACGTGAATCCCGAAGATAAAATCTTATTCGATGGTCTAAAAGAAATTAAATCAAATCGAAGCTTGATGCAATTTTTACCATATTTATTCACAATCTTCACCATCCTATTTTTACTTTAATTGGTTTAATTTATTTACTCGTTTTTACTATTTAAATCTCATATTGCAAACCCCCCCCCATTTTACTATTTTTCACATGGTTAAAAACCATTCAAACATAAATTTGTGATTTTCTAAGTCCCTGAGGATTCGACCCTTATTTCTCTATACTACGTATTTCCTTATTTATTAATTAAGAAAAGGGAATTTATTTTGACACCGAAACGTCAGTTGTCAATACTGGTATTGATACGAGTACTAATACCAATATCGATACCATAGGGGTAGTATCGATAGTCTTTCCCTCAGTATTGATACTCCATGCTAAAACTGTCCAAAATTCATCCCAGCTCGTACAATATTGATATTGTTTATCAACGTCAATACTCAAACCAAGAACTACCTTATTTAAGCTCAAAAAACACCCAAACATCATCTTAAATGTCTTAATTTGGTTACAAATCATGTGCTAAAGCTTAAGGAAATTACATATGGTCTTAAAATACCATAAAAACACATGATTTACCCTAAAAGCGTAATCTAATTATGAAATCAAGCATAAACCCTAAATTACTTAAATACCCAAATCTACACAAATCTTCACTATTATGAAAGCCTTAATACTACAAAGGATTAAAATACATTATATTGCTATTAAAATCCCGAAATAAAGTTCCTTTTGCTAGCTATCACTCTCCTCCGAGGCTTGGATAATAAACCCCCACTTTTTCTAGCAAAACATGAGATACAAGTTTGAATCTTAAAAAACAAGGTTGCTACATGTATTATGGACAAATTTAAATCTTAAAGTGGGCATAAAAGAGCTCAAGGAACTTACCTTTAGCTATGACACTTGGAGAAAAAAAGGAGGAAAAGGAAATGGGAAAGGATGAAATGAAGAAAAGAAGATGAAGGAAGATAAAAAGGCTTCTCATCTTTTCAAAATGAGATAATTACGTTTTATGTCATTCCCATTTTTCCATTATGCAAAAATCTCTTTTTTAGGCTAATTGGGCTTAATTCTCATCCAATTTAGCCCTCCCTCAGCCCAACGACTCTAATTACGGACTCTATGTGATCCACATACCTCTCAGGTAAACCCGAAATTACTAACCCATAATTTGAGTTGTTACAAAATGTAGACCAAAGAATTAGGGAGGCTTGGGCTTTTTCGATTTGCATATGAGAAATAGATCCCTCCTCAATAAATGGATCTGGATATTCGGGCGAGAACCAAATAGCCTGCGGATGACGATAGTAATAGCAAAGTACGGTTACGTCTAGAATGCATTGCTCCCTATACTTAATTCCCTTGAGAAACGCGTCATGGGTGTAGATGAATATATCACATCCGATGACCATTGATGATGACATGTTCATTAAGGATATTAGATTCTCCGTTGGTGATGGAAATCATATTAATTTTTTGGAAGACTTTTGGACCGATGTTCCATATTTAAGGTTGTCCTTCCCAAGGATTTTTCGGGTAGTTGTTTGAAAGACTGGAAAGATTCCGATTTTGGTTATAAGGTTAACATGTCGTGGACTTGGAACATTGATATTATGAGAGTTTTGTTCTATTGGAAGTGCAAAATCCGGGATGAATTTATGTGCACGATTAGCAGGGTTGTGCGGGGTTATCATGAAGTGTGATTTGGCTCGGGTCTCTAAACAGTTTGTAATCTCCAAGAAGCTATTGCAATCGAGTTATAAATAGTTGGGCTAAGTCCAACAAATTCTAGGACCTTGTTTGAGCTAAGTTAGCCCCTCAAAAGGTTGAGGCGTGTACCTGGAAGGCTGTCCTGCAAAGGGTACCATCGCTTGTGGAATTAACTAAATAGGGAGTGATCAAATCGGATGTTTTTTTTTTTTTTGTTCTGTGTCACAAGGAGCCGGAGACGATTAATCACTTTATTTTGTCATTGTGAGGTGACGTGGAGAATCTAACAAAGATGGGCCTCGGGTGGAATCACTCCTTTGTTTCCCCTGAAATGTTAGAGCCTTTTTATCAGCGTGGGTAAGGCAATCGAAATGGATATGAAATCTATCTTTTTCGGTTTTATTTGGTCTATTTGGTTGAGTAGAAACGTTGTTATTTTTTGTAAGAAAATCTACTGCGAAGATCTGTTATTTAGTATGACTATGACAAGGATAAATTTATGGTATAAGTGCAAATGGCCATCATCTTGTTTCTCCCGATTTCATTAGTTGCTCTAGTGCCTTTGCAGAGGGCTATCAACTGTTTGGTTCATGGTGTGAATGTATGTTGTGTTTTTGCCTTTTTTGAGCAAGATTACTCATGTGCTTTCTTGCTGAAGTATTGTGTAGATGAAGTAGTCTTTGTGTTGCCTTGTTGTGGAGGTTTCTGCAAGGACTGTTTTGGGCTGGGATTTGGTAGAATCAAATCAGGGTCCCAGGTTTCGTGATTCTGCAGTGTGCTCTCATCTGAGTTGGATGGGGAACTGCAGCCTTGGCGTTTCTTCGCTATGGTTTCTCTACTGGTGTATGTTTGTATCGCCCTTGTTATAGGTGTAGTTTCATTCTCGGAATTGTGTAGTGTTGACATTGATTAGGTGCATTCTTTTTTCTCCACTTAAATTTAGGAAGATTTTTTAATGAGGACTTTTTCATTGTGGTCAAGTTTTTGTATGTGTGTTATATTAATACATACAAAAATTCTTATCCTTTCAAACAAAAATTAAAAATAAATTTTTATATAAGAAAAATCAGTATAATTTATTTATTTCCATAAACATTTTTAATGAGCGGCAAGATAAATTTTCATGATCAGATTTCTTTTCCTCGAAATGATTGAATGATAATGAGCAGCCTATCGGTGGTTAAGGTAAAATGTCGTAATCTAATATGCAAAAGAAGTTAATGCAAATGCTATTATGGTCATCTTCCCATACGTTTTCGTAAACCTTGCTTCAAGTTTTGGCATCATCCTTCGTTTCTTCACTCCTATTTAATGCTTTCTTATCTTTTCCTTCTCCAATTTAACTTGGGGGGAAAAGCACACGTCCCTAAATTGAATATTTCCTTTTAATAAAAGAATCAAAAGTAACAAACAGAGAAACATAAACGACAATTTGTTCTATTTCGGTAAAAGAAACAAAAGCATCTTGAATAACACTACACGAGATTGAAAATAGGGTCTATAAAATTTCATTTGATTTAAAATAATTTATTTTTTAAAATTTAAATTAATATATTTAATTTATTTTTTAATTTAAGTTTTAAACTTGATCGAGTTTAAATTTGTAGATTTTGAATAATAAAAAAAAACTAAAAATTAAAATGAGATTGTTTGTCTTTAGTTGAAGTCTGTTATTCCCTTATTTCCCCGATTCTTCTTTTGTTTTAAGTCTTTCTTTTTATCAAATTTAAATCATATGCTCCTCACTCATTATAGAATGCATGTGTAACTTCAATCCCTCTTTTGGATAATATATATTTCTTCGATTTTATCTTTAATTTTTACGTTTTATTCAATTTAGTTTTATGGCTACAACTTTTTACAAATTCTTTAATTCCGTCAACTACAAAAAAAATAACATTATGATTATATTATAAAATTTTATATAACATTTAGTTTGATAAATAATATTATAAACTTATTTATCCATATAAAAATATATATCTATATTTTTTAGAGATTCCATATTACCATGCTATTGCAAATACTTATATTTGAATTTCAATATAAACTCAAATAAATTTATTCAATTTAGATTGAAATAAATAAATAAAGTCTGAATGATAAATGATATTTATAAATTCAATTAATTTGAAAATTTTCACATATTTGTAAGATGTAAGAACTCAGTTTAACATGATATAATGACGCTATCAAATGCATACCTGAAAGGAAGAATTGGTGGTATCTTAGGCCCCCACATTGCTGTAAAAATGAAATAAAAGGACCAATCCCTTAGGTTGTCATTTTCATAACAGCAGTAATGTGTCTGAATTTGTAAAATTGATAGTGAGAGATTTTAGTTTGGAAGAAAATAATCATGGGGAATGCCACTAAAATAAATCAATGAAAGCATCCTCTCAACGGCTACCCTCAAAATCTCCTTTCAAAACCCAAATAAAGGCAAAAGAAAACTGCATGGAGAAAGAGATAGTAATAGCAATAGTAGCTTCAATTTCAAAACCAACTCCTTTTTCCCTTTCACCTGCCTTTTCTTTTCCTTCAGGTACCAACTCTCCATCTGATATATGTTTGTTGTAAAATATGGTCTATACCTCTTTTCAGGCACATCCTGAGAATCATTTCTCTTCATATTGTTCAAGCATTAATCTGTCAATTCATTCATCAAGCACAGGAGATTCCATCCGAGGAAGGGGATACGATGCCTCTCCGCTTCGTCTCAGCATGGAGAAAACGCCGGAGATGCAACACCCGGGATCATACCGACCCTTGTATGTTATTTTCCTTCACATGATAACCTGTTCATCCTTTGGCAGTGTTTTTTTTTTTTTAAAGTTCAACATCCTACATTCCTACTTTCAGGGACTTACAAACCTGCAGAGTACTGGGGAATTGAGGGTCAAATGCCCCAGCAAACAAAACGTCGACAAGGTTCGTCAATTTTCACCCTTAAGGAGATGCAGGAGGCAACGCATTCTTTCAGCGACAAGAATCTGCTCGGGAAAGGAGGGTTTGACCGAGTCTACAAGGGCACTCTACGATCAGGGGAGGTATTTATCATTTTTCCTAATGTTTGTGTGGCAATAGCTTTGTTTGTTCCATGCATAAGTTATGCTTCCATAGGCGGTAATGAACCAAAGTGTAAAGAAAACATACAAATGTTCTCTTTCTGTATTCTGAAGGTTGTTGCAATCAAGAAAATGGAGCTGCCACCATACAAAGTAGCTGAAGGAGAACGTGAATTCCGTGTTGAAGTTGATATCTTGAGCAGACTTGACCATCCGAACCTGGTTTCGTTGATAGGTTATTGTGCAGACGGGAAGCACCGGTTTCTAGTCTACGAATACATGCAAAAAGGGAACCTGCAAGATCACTTAAATGGTAGGCTTCTACTCAAGTCTGTTCCCAACCCAGTCACTCATTCATCTAACATCTATCAAATCTTAAACTGCTAAAATAGGTATTTGTGAAAAGAAACTGGATTGGCCTTCAAGGCTCAAAGTGGCAATCGGTGCATCTATGGGACTTGCTTATCTCCATTCTAATTCTGCAGTTGGAATTCCTATAGTTCACAGAGATTTCAAGTCCACAAATGTCCTACTAAACGACAACTTCGAAGCAAAGGTAAGAAACTTACAAACTTTTCAGCCAGAATTGACATTATAAAGCATATTCATCACTAAAACTCGATTTACTACTCTTTTTGCAGATATCAGACTTTGGACTAGCCAAACTGATGCCAGAGGGTCAAGAGATTGATGTGACTGGAAGAGTTCTTGGCACATTTGGATATTTCGATCCTGAGTATACATCAGTATGCATCTTCATGTCACAAACTTATTCCCTACATTTCTCTTCTAATTCCTAACAAAAAGTACAGATAAGTCTAAAATACTAGGAAAGCAAACTCTTATACAACAAATATCTCATTCTTTAACTTCCATCAGAAAAAATACTAGATGTTAGATTTTGTTCAACAAAATTAGGTTAGCAACAGCAAGCATGATCTCGGTTTTTCATTTGTCTTCTCTTATGACAGACAGGAAATTAACTTTACAGAGTGATGTTTATGCATTTGGAGTGTTCTTCTAGAGCTTTTGACGGGACGCAGGGCTGTAGACTTAAACCAGGGAGCAAGTGACCGAAACCTTGTAGCCCAGGTAACAGCTTATAATTCAAAGAGGTTATGGCTCTAAGGTTTCAAGGACTTGCAACAAATAAGTTGGCGGTTGTGGTCTATGTGTTACAGGTTAAGCACATACTGAATGATAGGAAGAAATTACGTAAGGTGATTGACCCAGAAATGGCTCGAAGTTCATACACCATCGAATCTATAGCAATGTTTGCAAACCTAGCATCGCGCTGTATCCGTGTTGAGAGCAGAGAGCGACCCTCAATGCCAGAATGTGTGAAAGAACTGCAACTGATTTTCTGTGCAAATGCAAAAGGCCTAGGGCATGCCTTTTAGGATGGATTGAGAAATGCAATTTTCTAACCAGCAGTAAAACTGTATCATATCAACAATAAGGACACCATGAGTTAAGAGCAAACAAGATTACCAGGTAAATTTGATAAGAGGACTCAAAGAAACAAGGTATTTGAGTCATCTATGAGTCGAAACAAAAGAAATATTAGTAGAATTCATGTTGAAGAGATAATATATTCCCGTATTTGTTCTAGTTATCATCACCAGTTTATTTGTTAATATTTTGCTTATTGCAGCTAATTCTATGTACTGTACATTTTGTAAACACAGTTAAACAAGTATTTTGCACACACAAAAATGATAACAAGTAGTGATCTTTGATTTAGTTTGCACCAACTATAACGAAAGCACATATAAAGACATCTCATTTTATCCCTTCCCTGATCATAAGTTCGTGCTCAAAAACATGTTAACAAAGCAAGAGAGAGGAATTACATTAGAAGTTTGCATAAGACAATAACTTGAGAAAAAGTGACAAAAGCAATGGATATGCTGGATGCAGTTTACCCTTCAAGTGTGCTCTACCATGCACATAAGTCATAAACTAAACACAATGAGATATTTTAAGTAGCCATCGAATACCTAGTATCACATCCACCGAAATGGATGATCCTAGCAAGCTTTTTGAACTCCATTAGGGCTACGAAAAGAGACAGAGTAGCAGAAAAGATGTAAGAACAAAATCATCTCCTCGAACAAGCAGAAAAAAATGACAGGTTTATGACAAAGAGCAACAAAAGTAGAAGAGCGAGTAAGAGTTTCAGTAAAAAAACATGGGTTTTATGTGTGACTCGAACAGCTCTTATCTCGAACGGTTATGATTACAGTATGATTTCAACTTATACATTTATGAGAGAAGTTCCTCACCGGATTCCAACATGTCCGAGTCTAAGAAACTGCTAGAAACCGGGAGTTTCTTGCACATCAAATGCTTACGTCTCTGTAATGTCAGCAAGATAAAGATACTGTCCGTCTGAAAAACATTGTATCCTGCTTTTATGTACATGTTGAATGGAGCCTCATCGATCATTCTACAATGCAAGAACACCTCTTTTGAAGAAGTCATTCGAGATATTAGCTCCTCACTTGCCTTGAGAAGATGCCAACCAATGCCCCTCCTAAATGATTCAAATGAAAACACCAAGAATAAGATAATAAAAAAAAGTGGCCTTTGTTGCTAAATTCAACCTGCAATGAGAGCGCTTGTTGACTACAAGAGTAAATTTTTAGTCCTAAAATGGCTTCAACATTACAAATACCACATTTTTATTTTCACTTAGTGGTTAACTTAACAATAACCTTTCACCATACGAGTGTGTAGCACCATTATCCAAATGGAAAAAAAAAAACTCAACCTGTAACTTATTGAACACATTAACATCACAAATCCAACATCATGTCATTATTCTCTTCCACTAATATCCACCAAATAAGGAACAGAGAAAACTAATACAAAAGTACAATAAAAAAAATTAAAAAAAAAACCCTTTCTTTTTACCTTCTAAGCTCCTTTGTGACAGTCATGTTACAAATATATGGAGAATTCTGGGACTGTAGGTGTAGGAGGAGAAGCATTAGCACCCCTTTGTCAAAGCAAACCTCCACTGTTCCAGCCAGTTTCTCTCCTCTCTTCCCACCTTCCTCTCTATAGAACCAACTAGAGTGACAGCATGTGGCATGGAAGCTCTCCTCTCCATCAAATATTGTTTCACGAAGAATCTCAACAAAGCCTCGTACTGCAAAGACATGAACATTGACTCGGCGAATGACAAAGCCAACAACCCGACGGTCAAATCCATTTCTTCAGTCCTCATGACCCGAACCCACAACGACCCAGATTCCAACTGCTGAATATAGACGAAATACTCCAAAGCTATGAGCTTTTCGAGCTCTTCGTTTGTTAAAACACGGCTTCCCCTAAAGGGTTCGTCTAGGAAGGAGAAGTACTGAGTGGGAGTGATGGAGTTCGTGGAGGAAGAAGAAGAAGGAAGACAGCATTTGAAGCTGTGACGATGGAGTTTGCGAAGGGGAAGGAGAGGGTTTCTATATGAATTAAAGAATTGAACTTTGGTGGGTTTTAATTCGGTTTGGAAGCGTTGGCACTGTGGTTGGAGATATAAGTAAGTAGATAGTTTAAGTGCTGCTGCTGCTGTTGCCATGGAAATTGTGAGCTTATTTGAGATCAGAATCTGTTGATGATGAGATAAATTTGGAAAACATCATCGAATAATTGTGGAGGAAAACATTTTCTTAACTGAAAGCATTCCTGTTTTCTTTTTCTTTTTTTTTTCATTTGAGAGTTCGTTTGCGATTTTGTGATCTGGCTAAGAACACGAAATAGATGACCAATCTGATCAGTTGACGGGCGAACCAAATCCAGCCATGTTTCCTGAAGGCACTTGTTGTATTAATCCTATATTCAACACGATAAAACATCAATGATGAATCGCTTTTATTAATCTTATATTCAATTATTCAATATATATATATATATATATCTTAAAATTGGTTTTCAATTCGTTTCAAACCTAAATACTATATATATATATATATATAGTTCAAGATAAAGATGGATTGAGAGAATATTGAGTGCGGTCCTGTCCACTATAAAATTTCAAATTCGTTGACGATTGTATTATGGGTTAGGACCACCGGCGGATCTACAGTTATATACCTCCTCTCCGGTTGCGAACATTGCTCTAAAAGAAGTTGATGAAGAGGGAAAGTGGGACTGGAATTTTCAAGCAACATTTTGTTTTGATTATTATCTCTAATATCAGTATGTAGTTAAAGAAACTTTCAATATTGTATTTTAATTGTTGTGCTGATATCACCATCTGTTTTTGACATGGATATAATTTTGCCCTTTCGGACCGCCATATATATCAACTTTGGGTTTGACTCTTCTCTCGCTTCTTTTGAGATACTTTGATTTGTAAGAGCAAGTGCTCGCCTTTTAACCTTTTACCTCTACCAGTGAACTTACTTTTGAAATTGAGCTTTTAACTAAGTTACCTTCTTCACTGTGTTTTTTGTAATTTAAGTTCACGTCAAAGGGCATCCCCTCTGCTCAAATTCAATGAAAATTCTAGTAGACACCAAAAAGAGCATATTTCAGGGGCAGTGGCCAATATGGTAACCTTGTTTCCCAAGAAACAAACAGAAAATTCCAAACCATCTTTTAAATTCCACCACGCATTTTCACATTGCTTTCATATATACAGATCTGATAACAAAAATCAACGTATGATCCAAAAGAATCCCCATCTTTATCACCCCAAAGAACCATATACACCAATCAAAAATACACCAGAACAGCAACAATGAAATCGAAACCCTGAATTTCGTATCGTGTTTGCCCCTCCCCTCAGTCTCCTCTCCTCCATCTTCTGATAACATGTAACATTATCTGATTCCAACTATCGATCGGACCCGGAAGGCACCAATGTACACAGTCGTTTTGAACATGTTCTTGAACTCCATTGGCGAATGGAAACGGATACATATAAGGCCCCGGATGAGCATCTGGTCTCATTAATGACAATTTGGTCACATCCAATATCTCAAGTCTCAACCCTCCAAATTGCTTTGCATTCACATTGGCAGCTTCAATTTCTTCGACCGCGATCGATCTCATATCCGCATCCATTCCTTCAACCATCTTCTCTCCTTCCTTGTAAGGCTCTGTCTTGGGACAAGCACCGGCCTTATCCCATTTGCCTTGAAAATGTGAAGGAGAAAATCCGGTTAAAAACACATCGATTCCACTACCCAATTTCCTTTCAATTATCGTCTTGAGAGCAGTCTTT